TGTGCCGCCTCACTTTCTTGAAAGATTTCAATTTTTATTCCATCAATTCCTGGTGCCTTGTTCTTTGCCAATTCCTTCAATGCACCTTGGGCTTCTTCCCTAAGTATCATTGGCTCCGTGGGTTAATGCGCCAGACTGCAAAGCCTTTTGAACTGTAAGGTCGGCCGTTCAAGCTCACCAGTCACTCCTCAGAAACTGTATACAGGGTTGCTATGGGTTGGAATCGACTCGACGGCACTTAACAACAACAACAACATGGGTCTGGTGAAAAGAGATGGGGATAAGAATCTTATGATTTCATAGTGAATAATTGTTATCATGACTAATTGCGACTGTCACAATTGTAAAGGTAGAAGTTTTGTAACAAAAAATAGAGGATTAGTTAATTTTACAGTGTAGAAACAGAGGACCCTAGGACTATCAAGGGAGAAGAGCACAAGCAGAATGCGAGACCTTATCCAGAGAAGCAGCGACACCAGAGACAGAGGCAGAGATGAGGTCATAAAGTGGGTGAGCTGCTGAGGACTCTAGACTCATGGGAAGAGCGGGACTAAGAGCTGGTGGCCACGAGGCCGACTTGCAGAATGTGCCCTTTGGAGGTGTCGATTATTATATATGCTTGAGTGTTTTTTTACAAAAATCTAAAGTGAATAGAGATAAATACTGTTAACTGATAGTACATTGTTGTTGTTAGGTGCCATTGAATCGGTACCGACTCATAGCAATACTATGCACAACAGAACGAAACACTGCCCGATCTGGGCCAGCCTCACTACTGTTGCCACACTTGAGTCTATCAATGCTGCCACTTGGCCATCCCATCTCGTTGGGATCATCAAGCCATCTAAGCTAGGTCAAATGGGTATTATCAGCAATATTGGATGTTCTTGTGCATCTCTCCTCACTTCATATCACTTGGATGCTTCACTCTGAGTTCTAGCCCTCTATCGCTAAGTCCTTGTCCATAGGCTCAGGTGTCCTCAGGTCTCACTTTTTTTTTTTTTTTTTGATATTTTATTGTGAATTATATGATAGTTTACTTGAGAGAAGTTTAGTTTTACATTCATTCTATTGTATATCGTTTCATTGCCATGGTTCCAATCCTCTCCTTGCATCATCAACCGACGAAAGGTTATACCCTACACACCCGCCCCCTACACTTTCCCCCCCGCCCCAATCTTCAGCACACAGTCACTCTCCCTCTCTGGATCCAAAGTCCCCAGC